AATTAGAGGGTAAGCACTTTATGGTTAACTGTCAGATTCAATTACAGATAATGATTTCAGTATGAATAGTTTCAATGGACATTACATCCCTCCTTTCCTTTGAATTTAAAACTTGATCATGAAATTGATTGTTATGATTTAAATTAAAAATACGTATTTTATTTAATTGTCTTTTGAGATAAAATTGTCACTGATATTTATATAGTCCAAAATGTATATAAAATGTTCGTTTTGATTTAACATGAAAATCAATCACTCAAAACACTTTCACGGATCTAATTGACACAATACACAAAACTATACTCCCGAACAAGCCAGAGGATTTTATGCCTTTAGCGACACTTGTTTATTTTCACTTTGCAACATAATCATCAAGGTATTTCGGACGATAAAGTTGTTGTTTTAAGTTGTAGCGCGGAGTCGGCTGCGGCTGGCTTGATGGGTCATCTGAGGACTTCACATCTTGTGTGTTGGCTGGTTTTTTTATTTCCACGTCATCAGTAATCGGCTCTGTTGGTGTAACTTCTTTAATTGTGCTCGAGATTCTGGTAACAGTTTTGTTGTTGTTTGTCGCTGTTATCATCGATCCCTTCTTGGCTATAATTTCTAAGGGCTCAATTTCATATGGCGTAGAAAGTTTATTGTGTTTCTTTTGCTTTACGATAACTTTGTCCCCTTCCTTCAAATGAGGTTGTTTGGCGTTTTCCTTTTATCTGCATAATATTTCATCTGTTGTTTTCGCATTTCATCTTGTTTCCGTATTTCAGTCTTCCTGTTTTTCATTGAACATGGATTCTCTGGAAAGTAATTTTTATTCCTCCCAAATAATGCTTTCGCAGGCGGAACTTTTGTTGTCGAGGGGGCGTCGCCCGGTAATTTGTAGAAATTGGAAGATATCCTTTTTCCAATTACGTTTTTCCGCATTTGATGTTCTGACTATTTTTCCCAAAAGTGCATAAATCTTTCAACTTCCCCTTTGCCCTCGGCCATAACGGTGTAATTTTACGGTGTGTAAATCCCATGTATTTCGTAAATTCCTTGAATTCTTGACTTTAAAAAGGGGGGACCTTTGTTGTTTTTACAATTTCCGGAATTCCATGAGTTGAAAAAGATCTTATCTAATTTTGTCATTGTTGATTTAGCTGAAGTGGAATACAAAATTTTTACCTCCGGATATCTTGAGTAATCATCAATTACCACAATAGATATTCCCCTGATGGAAAGGGCCCGAAAAGTCACACTTACTTCTTCCCATTGTTTGTCTGGTAACTTTGACATTTTCAAAGGCTCTATGTTGTTTGGGGGGAACAGATGCTAGACGGGGGATACAAGATTTGCAGAGATTTTCCACCATCAAGTGATTCCAGGAAACCAAACTTTTTCTCTCAGTAACTGTTTCGTCTTAACAATGCCTTGGTGTCCTTCGTGAGCTTATCAACATTTCCTCTGTAAGAATGATGGAATCACAAGTCTAGAACCTCTAAGAAGAATTTCTATATCTTATATTTACCAATGCACAGCTCGTTTCTTAGTTTAAAAAATGACTGAAGGGCATGTTTTCAGATTTATTTTGCCATTTCCCCGTCCTAAGGCACAATTGCCTTTGTGGGTTTTGGGTCATTTAACGTTCCTTCTGCTATTTCCTTCAAAGAACAGTTTTGGAAACAGATACTGTGCAACAAAGTTGACAAATTCTTCACCAATTTTCTCTTTTTTAATTATTGGTTTGTTGATCTGGATGTCTGGACAAAAGTAGCCGGATTGTCGATTCCTCGTTTGTATCTGACTTGAAAATCATAAGCTTGTAAACGCAATCGCCATCTTTCAATCCTTGCAGGCGGTTTTGATTTAGGATTGTTGAATATGCTTTCAAGGGCTTGGAAAGAAAACGTAAATTTAGATCCATATATGTACAAATGAAAAAGTTACAGCTCCACACAATGGCTAAAGCTTCTTCCTTTTTTGGAGAAGTTGTTTAGGAGAAAGGTTGCCGGAAAGATTTTTCCCTGGGGAAAATACTCCCCCCGGGGTACATCAGAAATTTCTGTAGACTTGTTCTGATCGTAATATGACATAACCGTATCATAGTAAGCATTCTTTTAGCTTTTCAAAAGCCAGTTGCTGTTTTGATTCCCACTTCCAAGCCATATTCTTTTGTGTCAGCATTCGTATTGGTTGCGTTATTGTTGAGTAAACTTTGATAAATCGAGACACGAATTTTTCATCCCAAGAAAACTTTTCACTTCACTTGTATTTGTTGGACATTTTGCTGATTTGATTGATTGAACTTTAGCTGGGTCAGCTGATATGCCATCTGCAGAGAAAGTATCCAAAAAATGATAGCTTTTGCTTGTTGAATTACATTTGGTGGTTCAGTGTTATGTTACGCTCCCCCAGTCGTTCCATAACTTTTCTTAGACGCATATCATGTTGCTCTTGTGTCTCACCGTATCAATGATGTCATCACCATATTCTTGACACCTTGTAAACCTTGAAGTGATTCACTGACAGTCTCTTGGAAAATTTCGGCAGCTGATGAAATTCCAAAATTGAGACGTTTGTACCTGCGCAGTCCTGCATAGTTGTAAATGTTGAATGTACCTGGATTGTTCATCTAATTCAATTTGGTGGTATCCTGATTCATGTCTAATTTTGAAAATATTTTGGTCCATTTAAATCATGAATGATGTCATCCACAGTAGGTGTGATGTTTTGTTCTTTGGATCGCCTTGTTTGGTAGACGCATATCTACGCACATTCTTATTTCTCGGGGTTTTTTGGTTTTGGGGCTACCACAATCGGTGAAACCCAGGGTGTAGGGCCTTCTACTTTTTGTTGAAGTCCCCAGCCTTTTTTAAATTTTGCTTCTACTTTTTTGTAAATGAAAAGGTTCCCGTGGGGTGGCTGGACAGTTGGTTTTACACATCGTCAACATGGATTTTTACCTTTACATCTTTTTTCTTCCCATTCCTTGAAAAGGTTGCAAACTCATCACATATTTCTCCTACATCTGTTGACAAGCGGTTGATTGTAGGAATGATACCTAGCTCTACGGCACTTTCGTATCCTAGAAAACCCGAATTTCCTTTCACCCATAGAATTTTCCAGTAGCTATTTTGGATTTGGTTTGATTTGCAATGAAAAAAACCCAAATTCTCAGGTCGTTTTTGAACCATAAGCAAAAATCTTGGTATTTGCTTTTCGTAAGTCAGGTTTATGATGAAGTTTGGAAAATGTGGTTTTTGTCCAAAATATTTACATATCCCCTATAATAACACTTGAAAAGTTTGTCCATTTAGCACAACATTTACTTTGGTTGCTTGGTGGATTTGTTTTTGACACTAAATACATATTCGTCATCCTCCTCAAAGTTTTGAATCTGTTTGACATGTTTTCCTTTAAACTGGGGTTTTGACTTGCAAACGGCAGCAAAATGATTTTTCTTGCCACAATTATTACAGGATTGTCCTTGTGCTGGGCATTTTGTTTTTTGGGGGAATTGACCACCACAGTTAAAACACTTTGAACTTTGCCTACCTTGCGCTTTTGGTTCCGAGTTCTGCTTGGTTTCCACTGAGGGGTTCGTTGTCCTGTCCTTTTATGGTGTACTTTGTTCACACTGGAATTGTTATTATTTTCAATTCCTGATGCTTGTTTTTCTGCTGTTTCTAGAAGCTTGTTTAATGTCATATCCTCACTAAGCGCTTTTTTCTTGTTTTGATGAAGTGCAGCTTTGTATTTCTGAACTTATTTCACTATCATTGTCTCCAAATTCACATTTTTCGGCGAGTTGTCTCAAGCGGGTGGGTATGTGTCCACCGTTTCCCCATCTGATTGTTTCGTTTGTCGGAAAACTACCCCCGTATTCCTTTTACTTTTGGCTCAAAGTAGTTTTTCAACAATCTTTTGGCTTGGTCATAATTTTCATCATTCCCAGTATCTGACAAAGTGTCGAAAATATCATAAACTTCCTCACCAGCGTAATGAAGTAATAAAGTTTTCTCTTATTGTCTGTAATCTTCATTCCAACGAATAAGTTCTCCAGACGTTGTACCCATTTCCTCCAACATACCTATGGCCCCCTCAGCATGGACAGAAAATTTAAAAACTGGAGCCCTTTTTGCCATTGATAATCCTTAAATTTGCGTACTATACTAAAAGAATTTAATAAACCCGTCGCCATTTAAAATTGCTATTTGTGAGGCATAACACAACACATCTGATCGGTTCTAATGCAATTTATTCTCACTAAACTTTCACACAGAGTAAAATTTCCCCTGCTTTCCAATTCATTATATAAACAATATTGGCTTTAGTTTAGAAACATAAACATAGTGTAATTAGAGGGTAAGCACTTTATGGTTAACTGTCAGATTCAATTACAGATAATGATTTCGTATGAATAGTTTCAATGGACATTAAAACCCCCGCCTCTAACAACTCCTTCACTACACCCAGATGTCCACCCTTACATGCTGCTGTCAGTGGTGTACAATGTTTAACTTCCCGATTACATAAAACCCTGCCCTAATAGCGCATTCACTTTTCTCGGTTGCCCATCCTCACACGCGGCCAGTGTTTTGTTACCAAATGTATATTTAATGTCTAAATTTGGAAAGGTCATATAAATTTTATTTCTTTTGATATATTTGATCAATATTCTTACAGTTTCTAAATCTCCATTGTAACAACTCAGCAAAAGTAAGCGCCGTTGTTCAGATATAGACGCATCAATGTCCAGGTCTCTGAATACCTTAATTTGCTATTGGGTTATTTGCTGCAATATTTTTCTCCCTTGTTTTGTTGTTTGAGTTAAATCAAGATTTAAAAAATTCCAAAAAAATTCAGACTGCGTTTCTTTGTGCAAATCAGTTTGCTCTAAAATATATTGCAAAATCTGACTGTGTCCGTAGTAAACTACCCAACTGATAACCCCCACACAGTAGTTTTTTTTCATGACCCCTTCTCATTCACCAACACCTCCTGTCTGTACTGTTCCATTATCCTTCATCCCCCCCTTTAATCTCCTCCCTCACATGATCTCCTTTACTCACTACCTTAGACATCTCTTTCTGATCTGTCAGAAATAAAGATTTCAACTCTGTGTAGGACTTTGTCTCTAACACCTCAATAAAAGCCTGACATACCTTAGGCTGTTTCAAAACATTATTCATAAAACATCATACAGCTCCATATTTTCTATATCTTTGTACAAACGCTTTGCAACATGAGTACGATTCTCCCCTATCCTTATACAGAGATCACATAACTCCATTCCATCACCGTTTTCAGCACTTAAAGCCTCTTCTCCCCTTTTTGTGAGCTTTCACAAGCAATGCTTTGTTCATTCTTACTCTCACTATCGATTGAAACTCTTTCACTTGCCATTTTATGTTCATTCTCTAATTCAAGCATTTCATATTTTTGAAGCTTTACATAGTTAGCAATGTAACTACTACTCATAAATTGTAAAATGATATTTGGGAATTTAGAACCAAAATGATAAGCAATGATTTCAAACATGGAGTCATGAATAAAGGTATATTCAGAACCACAGAGTTTTGTGTATGTCCCCTGCATTACTGACAATGCTTTATCAAATTTATATGATTCTGTGTAACTCTCAACTTCACAGTCTTCTAATGCTTTTCGTTTCATTTCGTAGAAAACCTTATTTTCTGTGCCTTTTAATATTTTTTTTGATAATTTACTATCATTTAACATGCATAAGACCAACGTAGCATACTGTAATCTATTCTGTTCCTGCATTTTGTCAAACTCTTTTAAAATGCATTCAGTTGGACAAGTAAAGAAACTTTCAATGTTTTTCCTAAAATTGGCCCCATTTGAGTAGAGTTTACACAAAAGAGGAAACATCGCCGATGTTTTCCTCAGTAATGTAGGGGACAATAAATCTTTATCCAAGCCGTACTTCTGAAGAATTGCTTTTTTGTCGTCATCATTCAATGTATTTTCTGAACTACACATTTTGATTGTGCTTTCCTCATTAATGAAAAATGATTTGTAACATTCATTAAACACTGCTTCCCGACAGGTCATCAATACTTTTGTTCTTTTATTGGAATGATCTGAAATTATTTTTTCATAGTCAACTAAAGCCTCTAACTTTTGTTTTTGAAGACCTAATACACCTACCACATCATCAATGACAAAAACCTGTGGATGACGAGAGTCAGAATAATCTTCAATCTTCCTAATGTCTATAATAGGTACAACTTCGTATCCTTCTTCCTGGAGTAGCAGGGCTATGTGATGGATTGTTGCTGATTTTCCGGACCCAGGGACTCCAACAAATGTCATATACGGTTGTCTCTTGACTTTGTTCAGCATTTCCTGGAAAGTGTGAGTTTCACTGTAAACCTCATCTTCTTTCTCCATTTTATCACGTGTCTTTCATGAAGATCTGAAATATATCATATTAAGCTTGAATGATACCGGTGAATTAAAGGCAAAAACATTTTCTCAAAGTAGATGAAAGGGCCAATTGACATTTACGATCACTTGACTAGAATCGGATTAAAAAAATTATACTTTTACACAAATCACCAGTACAAGCGAGATTGTTGATTATTGAAATCCTAGAATGCCAAAGTCTTTATGAATGGCTTGCTTTAATTTGACAGTCGATCTTACTCGGAGCTTGCTTTTACGAAATGAACCATTAGGAGACAAAAACTGCTATATGCAGGAGATGTTGAGTTCCACTACTACTACATATTATCATAAATAAGAGAAGTTAACGATAGAAAAGCGGACGTCATCCAAATTGACATACAATTTTGTTGTTTGTTATTAATAAACTCCCAAATATGAATTAGAAAAAAAAGTCGTTGATATGACATTATGTTCAGTTGAAGGTTAAACTTGTATTATTTGGATAAAACTGTCATCTAAGGTGATTGAACTTGGGTTAATTTAATATGACCAATTATTACCCAAGCATCTGCAAGTGACACAAATTTACACTGTTTACTTTCATTTTTTTTAAAACAAATAATGAAATGAAAAGATTATGACCATCTGACCCCAGTTGATGGCAAAATAAAGATGACAAATTTTGACAGTTATAAATATTCTAGAAGTAAAATATTTACATTTTAGATACTATTTTTCTGATTCAATTTATCAAACACCTAAAACAACAGAATGACCTATAATCAAATAATAATATCTTGGTTATTAATTTTACAATCATGCACGTTTTGTAGATTTGTACATACCCTTAACATTTGGAGGGATGACATCCTCGATTTTATCTAAAAATAAATTCGGAAAATCAGTTTTAGGTTGTCTATCGATAAACCTCTTTATTAAAAGAAGTTTTCAACTACACCAAACAAAATGTCATTATTTAATTGAACATTCGATTTTTTGGAGTTTCTACGTTAATATTTTTTGCTTCAAGTTTTGTAAAATGTGCTTCATAAGTAAAATTTTATTTCATTACACGTGTGTTAGTAACACTCCTCTAATGAAAACTATTGTTTAGAGAGGAGGAGGAAAATTGACGTTTATGACGTCACAATAGTCCGTATTGTTATACAGTAGCCACACAAACTGAAATTTAGCAAAACTGTAGCTCTCTGCTTGAGAAAATTCGGACAGATAAAGCAGACAGATCCAAGCGTTGTAAAGACCTTCGATTTATGCCAACGATTTTTTGTAGCTACTTAAGGTATTTATTTCGCGTAGTTTAAGCTTTCACTGGCTTAAAGAATGGAATCCAATAATAATTCATTCATTTGACTCTTAAATTTGATCCTTTGTTTACCTTTTAACGGTTTGAAACAGTCCTGTATATAGTTTGGAAATGTTTGTTTAAAAGAGTTCCATTCCGACGTCCATAAACATAAATGGCCATTTGTTAGCTGTTGAGAGTTAAGTTTATGATCAGGAATTAAAGTGGAATGTATGGTTAATTATTAAATACTATTCAAAATGATTTTCAAACCTGGGTAGTAAAAAATGCAAGAAAAATACCCATAGTGAGCGACAAAAAAATTGCCGGCGTATATCGAAGGTTTTTACAAGGCTTTATCTGTCCGAATTTTCTCAAGTAGAGAACTACAGTTCTACAGCAAACTGAAATTTAGATACTAAAATAATAAAAATTAAGCTGAAAATTTTCTGACTTCGTCTTTTGTTAAACATGGTTCAATAAATTTCTTATTGTCCTGTGCACCGTCCAATAAGTTAGCTGTATGTGTCCAATAAGATTCAACTTATTTGACAGGTACAATTTAAACATTGTAATTTGAACAAAGGGCGAGGCATATAAATAAACAGTACTTAAAAGGCAATGACAAATCAAGCAATTTTTTGAAATATGAACAACGTAGGAATTTAGTATCGTATAAAGTTACATTAAAAAATTCCTATTGGAAATGGCACAAATAATTCACAGTAAATTGAATGTCTCACATTCATTATTGTAGACGCATCCGTAGCTCCGATTATAAAGGACTTTCTTAAATTCATAGTTCATTGTATTAGATTCATTTCACTATGATTGGTCCACAGAACACACATAGAATCCAAACCTTTGGCTTTTTGCCTATTTAAATATCCATTTTTCCGCCTTTTTACAAAATGTCGCTTACAAAATTCAAACGGAATTTGTTTGGTGTTTCATGAATATTTGTCCATCTAGTCCCGCGTAAATGTTTGGGGAGTGTCTGTCGTCTGTCTTCCAAGTTCGAAACCTACGCATAAAAGAGACACTGTTGCATTTTTAGAAAAAAAATTACATCAGATATAATCTCCAAATTTCATAGAAAATGCTTAAAGATTGGTTTGAGGAAAATCCTTCAAATCCAATTGCTTTACAAAAGTTAACTTTTAACGAGAAACATTTGGTTGCAAATCCCAAAACATTAGAATATACATGTATATCCGGATTTTACTGTTAAAAAATTGACCTAAAGCATCTTGGTTTAATCGATAAATGGCGTCATCAAAACACTCGCTTCTAAAGGTAGTTTTATCATAATTATAATGTACTACGTCATCCGTGGTCGTTGTGTTGTAAAATGAATAAATTGTCAAGAATTTATAAAAACTAATTTTTACGCATGCGTAGTATATATGAAAAATGTCATAAAGCAGATTAATGAGACTAAACAAAGTTAATGTCCTTATTTTTCGATATAAAACACCTCTCATGATTCCACTATTTATAAAGAAAGAAGAAAAAACGAAATATTTTTTTTTAGTTAACTTAATAAACAGTGCCAGGTAGCCACCCAAGCAAAACGAGACCCTTACCTGTGGTTGTACAATAAGTTAACAATGGAAATGTCTCAGTGTGAAATGTTTTAAGATTTAAGTTTCTGAACATTATGTAAGATATTAGACTCACCTCGGCGCTAACGCGCTTGGGTCATCTAATATAACCGACATGATGGACATTTTCGGCTTATAACCAGTATGCTATGATAAGGATATGATATCTAAGGTATTCAATACCTATGGAACAAATTCAATGAAATTAATAAAACAGATATGTAAATAAGCATTGAATACCCAGTATATGACAGATTTGGTAAGATTATTCCCCCTTTTTATTTAATAAAGAAATAAAATTTTAAAAAATTAACCGGTAAAAAAATTTCAATTGCCATTCTATTTTTTATGTTTCAATGCATCTTTCCACCGCAGTATTTTTTACATTCAATTTATTTGATTTTTTTTAAAAACACTTTTCCCCATAGACTTCAATGCAAACTTTGTTAATTAAATACTGTTTGATTAATGATTTTTAAAATACTTTTTGGCGGGCAATCCTTTTCCACTATAAAATGTTTTAATACAATAGCGGTATCAACTACAGCAATTATCTTGTGACCACCCTAACAAAAAGATAACAGAGTTAAGTAGAGTGAACACTTTGATATTATGAAAAATTTGATGTACTATAGTGAATACTTTGACACTATTATTTATTATACTGATAACTATGGTGATCACTATAGAAATCACTTTGAAATTTTTTCTTCTAAATTTAATGTCAGAAAAAAAGTTTTTAAGTAAGGATTTACTGCAGAAACAAACTTAAACAGTATACTCGATTCTCATTATATCGCGGGTTCCATTGCATCGCGGTATATTCCAAAACATCAGATCATAGCTCAAATCCTTCTTGTTGAAAAAATTATATGTATATCGTCTGAATGTAAATTTTTGTGATGATTAAAAAGTTTGCAACATGCGTCGGAATTTTTTTTTATTCAAATAAAACGTAATTTTACAGAAATCCATTATCATTTTTAGCCCACTGAGTTTATTTAATCTAGTGAAATCTATATAAAGTTCTTGTTTGAAAGTCTTTAGTTCGCATAATTGTTTATTTTCTTATGTAGAATTATATGGTAAAATAAAAAATAAGAATTGAAGTCAATGTCAACCTCAGGAATCCATGTTTTCCCATACCGTGATATTATGAGACTCTCCTATTTAGGAGGTAAATAAAACTTCCTGTTTTAAAAATAGACTACAAATTAAACGATGCAAGCTTTTGGGGAAATAATTTGATGATAAAAAGTTAGGCCATATGTTGGTTTTTAAATATCCTTTGATGAAAGTTAAATTTTAAAAAGTCAATTACACTTTTTTATGCAAAAGATTTAAGTACCGCGATATAATGAGACACCTGTATATAAAGCTTCATGTCGAACTGAATAATCAAATTTACTTTTCAGGGCTTGAACTATTTCTCTAGTTTCAGCATCTTCTTCGGCTTGTTTTCTCAATTCTTCTATGTGATGACGGTCAGGGACAGGGTCCATTGTCTCATGTCTCAAAAAGTCCACCTCTCTTTCAAACTGGTTCTCATTGTTAAGGAAAGAATCAATTTCCACAACTGCAGATCTGACAGTGGACCAGATTGTGTTGAAATCAGCATTGGAGAGGACGGGACTAGAAGAATGTACACACTGATTTCTGGCAATACGGATTCTCTCAATGTTGGCAGAGAGAGATCCAATCCTGCAGGGTTCTGGGATCATTTCCCCAGCCATTGCCTGTGTGATGGTACAACTACAAATGTTTCTTAGTGTATAATAAGGAAATGTCCATATCACTATAGTTTCCTGTATAAAAACTACCTCTAGGTAAAATAAGATTCATCTGTTGAGCTGTCAGACGGGGAAGATTAGTCCTCTTTTGTTTAATGACTTGTGTGAATGTTGGTAGAGGTACATGGTGAAGTAAAACATCACGTAACTGATCTGTACATGAACCCAATAGAAGCCGACAGGCTCTACAGGCATTTGTCGTCTCCTCAGAGGCGTAAGGGGAGGAGGCCATAGCAGTCGTTTAATGATTTTCTGAAAGGTGGTTACAAACCAAAAAAAATTAGCAATCAAATAAAAAAAAACTAG